GCCGTATCATTTGAACAAGAACAATGAGTTCATGTCGCGCAGCCAGACTTTAGATGACAGCTGGCTTTGACAGGATGGGCATATTGCAATTCGGTCTCCTTTCAGTGTGTGCATTCTACTTATGGCGAAAACCGACACTGACTGAATCCACTCAGACAGACATTGAATGTGTTTCAATAATCGAATTAATTACTACCCTGTGGAGAATGCCTCTAAGTGATCTTATATCTGATGTTTTTGATGAACTGCATCTTTAAATGTGATCCAAATATATTAAAACTTTTTTGTTAATGGTAAAGAAAAAAGGGATGGTGGTGTAGTTCAGTGGTTAAAGCGTTCGCTCGTCACGCCGAAGACCCGGGTTCGAATACTCACATGGGTGCGATGTGTGAAGCCCATTTCTGTTGTCCCCCGCCGTGATATTGCTGGAATATTGCTAATTATCTTACCTTGATGTGAAATACTTTAATTTCATTGGTCAATGACGTTTAAACAAGCTTCCGTGTTACCCCTCCCAAGAGGGTGACAACTGGAAAAATATTACCCGCTGCCACGGTAACCGCCAACCTCTCCGCCGAGAAGCTGTATCGCTAACAATCGTATGACGTCATAATATGACGCATGACGTGCCCGGAGTTCGAAAACCGTTCGATCAGCTGTTTTTGTGTTCACTTTGTACAGAATTATTTTACCGACAATCACTGCTTTATTTAAACAATTTTATACATTGAATCGAGAAACAGACGCCATTTTGTTTACATGCCATATGGTCGGTAGCGATCTTTAAATAAAAAAACAACATATTTTGTACATTTAACATGGCGGTAAGATAAATACGTTGTATGCTTCTCCCTCGGATAATACGGTCCGATGTACGCCTGTTTGTAGCAGTGTCACCCGAGCCGGTAGGCAACCAAATAAATAAATTCCACAACCTTATGTTTAAGGCTCAAAGACCGCAAGACTTCAACTGTAAAGAGCCTAAGAAGATGTTAAGTTGCATCCCGATTTCCAAGTGTCCATGAAGGTTCTTAGTAAGAACCTCAAATTTTACAGTGTCTCCGAAGATGCCAAGTATGTGCCCTCAACTTCCAAATAGTTGCTAAGCAATCTCAAAGTATTCTAGACATGCTGAGCATGCATGCACATCAACCACAAATTATCCCAGTAGAGGTACGGGACCAGTCGAAATCTCCAACTTTAGGGTATACGATAACAAAGTGGAAGAAGGTTCACACTACATTTGCAAAACCATTCCACCTTCAACTCGTTCTGCTAAATACAGATCTAAACGACAACAGGAACATACCGGCCCGATGACACTGCTACAAACAGGCGTATATCAGACCGTATTACCCTCAAGAGAAGCATACACTCCAGCATCTGTTGATTCCACTCGGGACGCCCTGTTGTCACACCTGCAAGTCCGACGTCTATGTGCCATTGCGATACACTTTCATTGTATGAATATGTGAACACGTGGTGATGTAACGTATGTATGAAGCTGGTACAGTTTGAATGGCTGTATCACTTACAGAATAGATTGCTTCTTATCATCTTCATTTCATTTAGCAATACCCAAATACGCCGTTTGACAAATAGTAATACCAATGTGATATATACGTAGAGAAACAAATAAAGGAACACAGGAAAATTCAAGTGTTCCTTTGATATTTTCTATTTTCATCATCAGCTTTGAATAGCGCTGTGGTGATGAAAACTGGAAAATAATAAAGGTACGCGTAAAATTTCCTGTGCTCCTTTATTTGTTTCTCTACGTATATATCAGAAGGAACAATTCGCGTGTGCATAAGTAGGTTGACTTAATGCATCGTACTGAATTATGCTCTGCATTAACGTTGGAATATGCAACATTACATTGTCCCAAGCAACCTTTTCTTGCGTGAAGTAGCAGTCGTCTCGTAAAGCTCTGGGTTAGAATTGATCTTCTTGATTCAGCAACATGAACCTCACGAAACAGATCTTCGGGATAGGTTGAATCATGCCATTACATCACAAGTTTGCAGATCGCCAATCATGCCAACAACCACAGCATGAGTCGATGGTTTGTTTGATTCAGCAATAACCATTGCTTGAATGTCAACTTACTGAATCGCGTTGAATTAACAATATAATGATCAATAGTCACAAAAGATACTATTTTCTGTGATCATATCGAGAGGCTCAGATTTTTAGTCTGTACTTGCTAAGGACAAATATAACAAATCAAGGAGATAAAATGGTAATCCTTTATTATTAGCAAAAACATCACATTTTATTCCCCTTACTAAAATTTAACGCAATGTAAATCACCTTTACTTGATTGTCTGGTCCAGACTCGATTATTTACAGACCGCCGCCATATAGCTGGGATATTGCTGAGTGCGGCCTTAAACAACAACCAAACCAAAATATCGATTTGGACCTCCAATGTCCTCAATCGCACTATGACAGTGTGAGAAAAAGCATAACACGAGAGCACAGCTCTTTTCTTGATGATTTAAAAAAAATGTTCATCCTCTTCAACATGCACGTTTCTGAATCGTAGTATGTTTTCTTGTTTCAGCAGATGTTTGAGATTGATTATGCTCTGGCTTGAGTTGCAACAGCAGATGTGCGAAAATGCTGAACGAGATTCACTGAACTAGTTCTAATTACGTAGACACGCCAGTTATTACATTAGTTTCGACTATGAATTGTAAATATCTTCTAGTTAACGTTCAGTATTTAGAAGTGATAACAGTAATGACATACGCACATCGTGCAAATGTATGAATACGAAATTTGGCCACAAGCTCTTCTCCGTTACGTTGTCGTGTACGCTAAACGCCCGCATATCAGAACAGGCGTGTTTCAACAACCACACGAGTGTTGCTGGTGCTATAACTCTAATGATAAGAGGAGACACATATTAAGAGACACGGATCTACTGGGCGCGGCGTGGTATGTTCCTGTTGTTGTTTAGATCTGTAGTTAGCAGAACGAGTTGAAGGTGGAATGGTTTTAGCAAATGTAGTGTGAATCTTCTTCCACTTTGTTATCGTATACCCTAAAGTTGGAGATTTCGACTGGTCCCGTACCTCTACTGGGATAATTTGTGGTTGATGTGCATGCATGCTCAGCATTTCTAGAATACTTTGAGATTGCTTAGCAACTATTTGGAAGTTGAGGGCACATACTTGGCATCTTCGGACACACTGTAAAATTTGAGGTTCTTACAAAGAACCTTCATGGACACTTCGAAATCGGGATGCAACTTGACATCTTCTTGGACTCTTTACAGTTGAAGTCTTTGGGTAGCTTCTCCAAGGACACTTTCCTTGAGCCTTAAACATAAGGTTGTGGAATTAATTTATTCAGTTGCCGTATAACTATATGCTTCAGGTCATAAAATGTCCTCTAAGTGATAAATGTGGAAAATTTGTTTTATTTTTATCGAATCAAAAACCGTTTTGTTCCATGGAATCTTTGTAGTTTTTGCTTTTGTGGCTTGTCAGTATTCCAGCAACTGCATAGCGAATCCAGCCTGACGCGTGAGGGATCACTGGACTGTTTCTCGAATATCGATATCATACTGAATATTTTATAGGCAAAAGAAGTATAGATACTGAAATTGCAAAGATCATAATGACTTGAAATACCCTGGTAGCCATAAAATAAATAATTCTTGGCTTGCTAAGATATCTTTTGACAATTGGGCCTAGATTGTTCGAAGCTCTCTTATCGCTAAAATAGCCGTAAGTGCCATACATTTACATTAACTTACGACTATCTTAGCGCTAAGAGAGTTTCGAAAATCTAGGCCCTGGTACCTTGAGGGCAAAGACCAAACTGACGAAAAATATTATGGTAACATTTTCGCAATACTATCACTGCGTTCCAGGGTCGCGATCCACAAAGCGTTCGTAACTTCACGACCTATAGTAACTCTGTACTACATAATTGGGTTATGAATTACAGTCACATTTCCATTTGACAAGGTTTCAAAAACCAAAGGCCCAGAAAAAAACGTTCAAAACGTTTCATGGTAGAAATGTTGCTTTTAACTCCACGCCCGGCTTGCTCGAAGCACTTACAACTAAAAGGATTAAGGAACAGGTCGGTCTTTAGGCCTGATTTAAAGAAAGTCCCATAACACCAAATCTCTTCACATTGTAGGGAAGTTCGATACTTTAGAACCACATAATGAACCATACCCACAGCCATCAGTGTGGATAAGGTGACTGTCAATCAAACGTTTCAAGATGTTCAAAACACCAAATTCAGATTTGCCCCCATGGGCATTGGCCAAATGAAATGCGTGAGTGAGTTTAGTTTTACGCCGCGCTAGGCAATATTCCAGCGGTCTGTAAATAATCGAGTCTGGACCAGACAATCCAGTGATCAACAGCATGATCATAGACCTACGCAACTGGGATACGATGACATGTGTCAACCAAGTCAGAGAGCATGACCACCTGATTCCGTTAGTCGCCTCTGACGACAAGCATGGGTTACTGAAGAGAAATTCTAACCTGGATCTTCACGGGTTCCGCATGAGAGGAGGCATATTTAAGACCGCAGCAATAGTATTGACGTAACAACATATCCGTGTTGAGTTCTTATTGTGCATATAAGCTGCATATAAGCATATAAGCTGTATCCATAAAACAAGGCATCTATATTCACAGATGGTTTCCCGTGGAAATGATACTCTGAATAATAAGACCTTAATAAGCTGTAGGTTTATAGTGTAGAATACACGCAACTGCTTGCGTTTAAACCGTCTTTGATCACAGTGCACCAGACAATAATTATTCATAGTTACTCCTATATCTATTCATGCTTGTTTGAAATTGATGTAGGCTCAAAAGAAAGAGTGCGTCGTAAAACTAAACTCACTAAAAAACTCACTGATAGTGTCCTATTTTATTGTTGAGCCCGAAGCACATACAGATATCATTGGAGAAGGGCTCAACATGGAGAATCTCTTCTGAGCATGACCATGATACATTTTACAGGCGAATGCAAGTTTGTCCATCCTGCGCTGTGAAACTGCTGACCTTGAGGCTACTATTTCACCATGACAAAGGAAGGAAAACAGGGCGTTGATGAAACAAGTAAGTCGTGTCTCACAATGTTTGAGACGACTGCTCAACGATGGGGATCCGGCGTTAGAAACTCAACATCAAGGATATATAGCCCTTTCCATCATCAAACGAAAAAAGATGCATAATGCGTCCACAAACATGCACACACACACTCTCTCTGTGTCTGTCTGTCTGTCTCTCTCTCTCTCTCTCTCTCTCTCTCTCTCTCTCGCACACAGACACACACACGCGCGCGCGCGCACTCAGATACGCAGAGCAACACTCACACCCACACCCACACACCCACACCCACACCAACACCTACACACTGATACAAGTACATGCACGTCGCATTTTACATGAAATAATCTTCCACGTCACGTTAAAAATCAGCTCGCCTATCTTCATATTGCTCTGGCTTTACCATTTGATACATTACTTGCAATATCATCTAACGCGAGTTAAGAAATTGATTATACAACTGGTTGAATATATCCAGAAACAAGAGAAACATGGGGACATCGAGTGGATGGCATCGTTACCCTGTTGGGCTACAGTGTTGGGGAGGGAACGCTTCTCAAGTTTCCCTACCTGTGCGCAAGAAACGGTGGAGGTACGTACACAGATTATGTACTGAAACGGGTTGCAAATGATATGTGTGAAGTGTTCATTCCCAAGTTGAAACAATAGGCCAACTGGAAATCGGCCTGTAAACTAAATACTGTGAACCAATGAAGATTAAAACTTTACAAATTTCACAAATTGATATAAAACAATAATCACGAAATTGCAATGGCGTTACAAATTAGAGTGTCAATAAACTATTAAAGCAGTGATAATAGCAATAAAGACAGTAATGTAATATGCATCAACAGTCGTCAAGCTTCCAAACTAGGCCCAGACTAAGTGTCTAGGGTGAAAATTGATCTTTACACGACTGTTGGTCTTCTTGTAATATAGGATGTAATGAGAGACGTGATATATTAAGAATTACATTCTAAAATTAACTAAGTTTACAAATTAATGGACATTACACACTGTAACGGAATTACAATGACATTACAAAATAGAGTGGCAATATAAAATTAAAGCAGTTATTGTGTCAATAAAGACAGTGAGGGTAATATTGAAGTCACTGCAACCATGGCCGAGCTTCAAAAATAGGCCAAGGCGGAGTATCCAGGGTGAACAGTGATCTCCACACAACTGCTGGTCTTCTTGCAATGTCAGATGACTGAAGTAAGACTGACACCACTTTGTATTGTTAAATACTTTCTCTAAGAATACACTTGGGTATTCAGGAATAGGCCGAGGCATGGAACAGTGCCGTCTAATGAACCATGAAATATAATTCAACACGGTTAAACGTTCGCTGCCACATAGCATAATGCAATCTAAATATTCCACTCTGATCACATGATGACACTTATTAAAACATGGTAAAAACTAATAATCTCTGTTTATATAAGGCCTGTTCATCCAAATAACGCAAATATGGAACATAAACATCACCGTGTATGTGATCTTAAGACAGGTTCAGATAGGTCCAAGGTTTATCGTATTAGTCACTGCCTCTCTTACGATAATATAAAACATCAGTGCAAAAGAACATCCAGTCTAAAATGAATGCCTGCTACACGAGAACATGCAATATGTTCTCTTTACATATCTTCCTATAGTTACCAGTGTATTAGTTATACCTGCTGCAAGAAAAAACAAAATGCTTGTCACAAACTTTTACTTCACAATTTATATTTTGAAATTACCCTTCATTGCACATTACTTTTAAAAAAAGAAATATCCGAAATGTGATGGCGCATAGTAACACAGTAGCAAAACCCATTTGTCTCAGAAATCTTCTTTCATCTCTTTTTTTTATTACTGTTTTCAGGAGCATTCCTGATCCCCTACCTGGTGTTTGTTGGCCTCTGTGCTGTACCGCTGTACTTCCTGGAAGTGGTCATTGGCCAATACTACCAGAAGGGCCCTGTAGAGGTGTGGAAGTTTTGTCCTGCCATGAAAGGTACAATGTATGTCAATATATGTCAAGTGTTTATGAAGAATTCAAAACCTGATAACCTTGTATGACAAATTGAAAACAAGTTTTAAATGCTTAATTATATTTAAAAAAGAAATCATATTTCAGACAATTAAATAAATGCTTATTATTGTTCATGTTTTGTTAGTGCAAGTAGCATCTGCAAACACATATATCTCTAATGTTTAGGATTAGTGATGGATCGATATCATTAAAAGTTTAATAGGCTTTCGGGCAACTAAGCTCATTTATACCTTGCCGATCATAAAGGATTGCTTAGATTCTAAAAAAATCATAATGTAGCAAAGCTGCCACATATGAACGCTTAAATGTATGCAAGAATTACATTCTGAACTTCATGGCGAGTAATATTCCTTGAACGTAATAGTTCAGCCAATGGGATGTCAATATTGACAGCTGTAAGAGATTTACCCATTGCTTTACGTTGTTTAACATATTTTTGGCAATGCAGTAGACAATGCGCCGCATTATCAAGCTGATTACACACTGTACAAAGCGCAGACATATTTTTCTTGATAATATTGAGATAAGCACCAAGGCCACAATGCCCAAGACGAAGTCTGGTTAACAGAACCTCTTCTCTCCGATTGTTTCGAGATAATTGGAATTTAGCAACAAGAGACCCAATGCAGAGATGGGACGTCTCACCAACATTTGCTGCAAACTTCAGGCATTTCAGCAGGCGTACTTAAAGGCATTTTCAGCTTGATTTTGCAGACTTTGTCCCAACATCTGTACTGAAAACATAAGATCACTAATCTACTTTAAGCTAATGACTGAAACACATTTTTGAAATGGCAAGGTGTAACTGAATGTAGCCAGAGTAAAATAGTTCGTGGATGCAATACACTTGTATTTAATTCCTTTTAACTAAATACCCTTAAATGAAATACACGCACGATACGTTTGTCTACTGTGACCAGGTCTTGGACTAAGTACGGCGTTGGTGTCGTGGGTATACGCCATGTACACCTCCATGTACTTCTCCTGGTACCTCTACTACTTCTTCAACTCCTTCTTCAACCCCCTGCCATGGTCCACGTGTGGCAACTCCTGGAACACGCCCAGCTGTGTGGAGTCGACACTTTATGGGCATGCTGGTATAAACACCACACTGAAAGGCACTGATCCACTGCAAGGCTTCATCAACGCTACACATTGGGATCACTTGAATGTGTCCACTGTGGACGTTGCTAGTGCTTCAGAAGAATTCTGGAGGCAAGTAATAACACTATGACCTTCAGAATATCTGAAGTATGTATAAGTACAAATTAAGATCATATTTTGGAGATAAACGACTGTGAACATTAGATTAATGTTAGATAGAATTGATAGTCGCTGTATTTCATTCAAAACGCGTAGCTATAATAAATGATTAATTATTAATATTTCCATCACGTTGTGTTCATATCAGCCATGCTGGTGGTCAAGCGGAAGCGGCAGTGTGGTATATACGTGCGCAGTGAAGCAGTCATAAAATTTTATGTAGAATAGTACAATGACGATGCCTCAGGTTAATGGTCCTAAGGAGTATCCAGTTTTACCTGAAATTATTGGAACAAAAGATTTTGAACTGAAATGATACCAATTTGTGCACTCTTTGATCTCACCAAGAATTTCTTTCAGATATAATACACTGGACATCTCGAATGGCCTGGATGATACTGGATCCATTCGGTGGCCATTGTTTGGGTGTCTGACCTTCACCTATGTCACTATGTACGTCATGCTGTTTAAAGGCATAAGAGTCACGGGCAAGGTAATGGCGAATTTAGGCATAAGTCAGAGAATATAAGCAGACTTGAATATCTGACGAAACGGGTTATTTTGGGCATAGAAGGCAAATTAGCTGAGGGAATTATTTGTTTGCATAAATAGTTATGAGTCATGACTCCAAGTGTTCAGAAACAACCACAGATGAAATGAACTTAAAGATGGGTATATTCTGAACACAAAAAGTGGTGTTCATTAGGCTAGGAGCATTCTTTGATATAACCAGATAGGTTGAGAGCAAGGCATATCCATGGACATTGTTGAACGACCGATTCACAGTAAAAAAGCCAATATGAAAAAAACGAAAAAAATATGATGAAACTTGTTCACAAATATAGTAATGTCCAATCACTGTGAGTCTGTTTGGAGCAGGTTTGGACAATATTGCACATAGGTCACACCGTGCCAGCTTTTTGAGAATGGAAAATCTGGGTTAGAATTGGGTTCAGTAACCCATGCTTGTCCTAAGAGGCGACTAACGAGATCGGGTGGTCAGACCCGCTGACTTGGTTGACACATGTCACAGTATGCCAGTTGCGCAGATCGATGTTCATGCTGTTGATCACTGGATTGTCTGGTTCAGACTCGATTATTTACAGACCGCCTACATATAGCTGGAATATTGCTGAGTGGGGCATAAAACTAAACTCGCCCGAAAATCGGAATTGGTACTGAAAGTAAATATCTAACAATAAAGGAGAAAACCTTTATCTATATTTTAATGTTTCTGTGATAGCAGGTTAATCACTGGATTGTCTGGTCCAAATTCGAGTAATTACAGACCTCCGTCATATGCGCGTAGCTGGATTACGGCCGTGTGCAACAACAAACAAATGAAACATTCAGGACCAGTTTCCAGTCAGCGTATCCCGTGGGAATACTGGTTTTACTAACAAACGATATGACACCATTTCCAGATCGTGTATGTCACCTTCATGTGCCCGGTGCTGGTGTGTGCGATCTTCCTCATACGGGGCTCCTTGTTGCCAGGGGCGACAGATGGACTGTTTTATCTGATAAGACCAGACTTTGAGAAGTTGAAAAGCCCCAACGTGAGTGTCAAATCAGGTCGACAAATCAGCTGCTAAATCATAAATGGTTCATTATTATATTAGTGAATCGATCAGCACATGACTCATCCACGTTACTGAGCGTGACCGTCCTATTAGTCATTGGTACCATGGGGTAGCCTAGAGAATAAAGCGTTCGCGTATCATGCCGAACACCCGAGTTCGATTCTCCGTATGGGTACAATGTGTGAAGCTCATTTCTGGTGTCCCCAGCCGTGAACGAGCTTGTATGAACAAAAGAGCTATTCTTGAGTATATGTTATAAGGTCTTATCTTCATCTAAGTTAGGTTCACCCGGGTTCGATTCCCCACATGGGTACAATATGTGAAGCCCATTTCTAGCGTCGCCCGCCGTGATATTGCTGGAATATTGCTGAAACTAAAATTCACTCATTCACTTGAGGTCGCTTTGAGGTTTTTTGACGTATGTGCTGAGCATTTCTAAATTGACAAGCTGGCTTAGCAGATATTTCTCTGTTGAGGGCACATACTTGGCATCTTCGGGTGCACTGTAAGGTCGAGCTCCTTGCTTAGAACCTTCAAGGACACTCACTTTGTGTCTAAGCATAAGGTTGTAGATTTAATGTATTTAGTTGCCATATAAGTAGATGCTTCCAGACATAAAGTGTCCTTCAAATGATAAATGTGGAAAATTTGGTCAATCGGAGTAAAACCTCACTCACTCATTTGGTTGAGAATTTGTCGTCAGCATCACCATAATTGTTGCTAGAGGCATCTGGTGGGATGGGCTGGTTAGGTTCCCGTAGCTGATGCATGTCATCTAGTTTGACTATTGCTGAGTGTTGCGTTAAACAACGACTAAAGTAACAAAACTGTTACCTTGGTGTGCTATAGATATGGATCGAAGCGTGTGGCTACGCCCTTCACTCCATGGGCACCAGCACTGGCATTGCCAACACCATTTCCAGTCACAATCAGCGAAACAGTAACTGCTACAGGTATAGGGAACAGGTTTTTTAACATTACAATTTTGTCTCGGTATTTACACATCGAACAGTAATTTTTCGCTCAACAGTGTCGATTTCCTTAATACGTTTTTGAAAACATTTCAGGCATTACTGATTTTCTTCCGAAGTAAACATGGAATTTTGTACCACTCAGCTTCATCGTTTGATGAATAGCTACAAATGATCAAGAAATTCTCAAGTATCGAAGGAAGCACTCTTAGACTCTTAAGGTATTTCCTTGAAACAAGGACGACACCAGACAGAGAAGCATAATAACAAGAAAAATTGTATTTCGTTAATTTTGGTTACTCTCTAAAAAAGACTCACACGGGTGGCTTTCTTGTTTTAACAATTGCTACAAATGATCGGTAAAATTCACAAAAATATCAAAGGAAGCGCTCTTAAATCCATAACATGTGTCTATGGAAGGAAGATGATAAAGACAGAGAAAACACAATCATAAAGAAATTCTTTCACGGTTTTGTTACTCTAAACGGTCACTGCTCCATGCTCTAGATTGGTGTTCCTCTCATAATTCATAAAGATTTCGTAGGCCTTCATTGAATATTGTTTTCCCAATTCCCAGAGTGGCGATGGTTTTGTGTATCGTGGACCCCCTGATCACCATCTTCTGTGGGCTGTCCATGTTCACGGTGTTGGGGCACATGGCGCACGTGACCGGGTCCAACATGGATGACTTTCAGTCTTCAGGTATAATTACGGGGTAACTGTAACAGTAATCTGAGGCACAGTATCACAGTACACTAGCGCTGATAATGAGTGAGTGAGTTGAGTTTTACGTCGCACTCAGGATTATTCCAGCTATATGGCGGCGGTCTGTAAATAATCGAGTCTGGACCAGACAATTCAGTGATCAACAGCATGAGCATCGATCTGCGCAATTGGGAACCGATGACATGTGTCAACCAAGTCAGCGGGCCTGACCACCCGATCCCGGCGCTAATAATGAACGTAGCCACAATCTGGACGTTTCTGATTTATCTTATTTCCCAATTTGCCAATAATTTAAGTCATGATGCGTTCTAATTCCCACAGGGACTACCGATGTTAGTTCGTTGTAATCGTAGTTCTATATATGAATTTTGAGTTAAATATGCAATATGTGGACGGGGCCAAACAGTTCGTTATTACCATGGTTGTTACAGTTTTATCACTATATCTGATTTTGGTTTATTTGTTAATGATGCACCACTTCAGCTTACAAAGAATCTCACCCGAGAAATATATGATATATATGAAAAGTTTATGCTTGTTTTTACACTTTTATGGACGAGTTTTGACATATAAAAGACACTTTTTGAGATTGTATTCATCATCTAACATTAGACTTGTTTGTCAGTTTGTAAAAAAAAGGAACAGGCAGTGATCTCACCCAAACGAAATTAAGATTGAGGCCAGTTTATGCCTGTTTATGTATCACGTATAGTTTCGGTGTTACACACACATATATGTTCTGATGATCCCACTCATTTTCCACTCCAGGTCTTAATCTGGCGTTCTCAGTGTTACCGGAAGCAGTGACTTATCTCCCCTTGTCCCAGTTATGGTCCGTGCTGGTTTTCCTCATGATGATGACGTTGGGCCTTGATACGACGGTATATATAGTTGTTTGTAGCAAATCATGCACAAGACGAAATGGATGCCCAGCGACCTGTGCTTGTCGTACGAGGCGACCAAATGAATCACGTGATCAGACTCAGCGACTTTGTTCAGTGCATCGATCAATACTCAAACTATCAATGACGTTTTGTTGCAATCTTTCCGGTGTGTGGTGGAACGCTGTCGACCACTTGCATATCACTGTTTCAAACGTCTGGTATCTTGTATCCCTTGCTCAACTGTCATCAAAGACGTTTGCAGTGTGGAGTTGAACCAGTTTCAGGAATGCCAATGCATCTGTCAAATTTTGGGGTTGTTAAAGAAAGTTTTGAATGAACGTTAATTTTAATTGAACCCACTATTTTCCTTCTTGATCGGGTACACTGCAACCAACATCACAACCAGGCAGTATATATCTACAAGCATCAAAGTTACTGGGTATTCTCTGTTTACTAAAATGAACAATGTGGCTATCGTTTTATTGGTTTATTTGCAATATTTCAATTCCAATACTTATTTGAAAAGGGGCGGTTGGGTAACCCCTGGATACAGCGTACGCTCATCATCCGGGTGATGCCCATTTGTGGTGTCCCCCACCGTAATATGGATGGAATATTGCTACAAAACACAAGCACTAACGTATTTGTGCCAACCAGCAACCCTCCTTTCGTTGCAGGTACCGAGTTTAGAGATCACTCAAGAGACACTAGCTGATCAGTTCCCGTCACTGGCCAAGCGTCGGTGGCTTCTTCTCCTCATCGTGTTCCTTCCTTGCTTCCTCCTGGCTCTTCCTTACACTACACAGGTAAGATGAAATTGCGTTCACTGATGGAGAAGAAGCCGTGTTTTGCTAAAGAACGAGAGTTACGTTGTCGTTTCAAGCGTTTGGCAGTTCTTAAACTGATTGTTAGTCATTTCACTGAGGCCCGTTTCACAAGGCGATCTGGCTCTACAACTGTCGTAAGTCTATGTTAAAGTATGGGAGTAACGATCACCTCAGCGCTACGACTGCAGAAAGTCTATGTTAAAGTATGGGAATTACGATCACCTCAGCTACGACTGCAGTAAGTCTATGTTAAAGTATGGGAGTTACGATCACCTCAGCTACGACTGCAGTAAGTCTATGTTAAAGTATGGGAGTTACGATCACCTCAGCGCTACGACTGCAGTAAGTCTATGTTAAAGTATGGGAATTACGATCACCTCAGCGTTACGACTGCAGTAAGTCTATGTTAAAGTATGGGAGTTGCGATCACCTCAGCGCTACGACTGCAGTAAGTCTGTGTTAAAGTATGGAAATTACGATCACCTTAGCGCCACGACTACCGCAGGTCTATATTAAATGTCACATGCAACACAAAAAAACAAACATAATTAAGACACAATTATCACTTATTCACGACATATAATATACATTGCCGATTGTGAAAAACAAATAAACAAAATTATAAGAATACAATCGCGAATCAAGAGTGCAATATTTTGTACCTGGGTTTACTTCCCTCGAAACGAAGCACCCGGGAGACCAAACCCAGTCAGAGCGGGTGGGTGTGCACTCAAGTGTAACGAAGTCTCTCATTTGCTGGTTTATTTGCCGATACCCTGAGGGCTCATTGTGTGTGTATATAGAGATGATCTGTTTGAATGGCATTTTAGAAGTATGGTGAGTAAAAGGAAAGTAAGATTCTTTATGGATAACATCTTCTTTTATTGTATATGATGCGACGTTTCGAACGGTATGGATTCCTATACCGTTGTCAAGCAAGAGTGACAACGGTATAAGAATCCATACCGAAACGTCGCATCATAAACAATAAAAGAAATTGTTATCCATAAAGAATGTGTATAGAGATGTTGGGTTTTGTAAATACATGCTCTCTGCATTTGCGTTCGATCCAATCAACAAATACTGAGATGTGAACTACTGCGTGGCTGTAAACTGTCGTTGGTCCAAATACAAAGCAGGACTTGAAACTGACAATCTGAGTTTGCACCGGTTTCCGTCCGATCCAGTCATCCGAGAAAAATGGATGCAGTTTGTTTGCAACCAACAGACATAATAACATGTCATGTGTACAAGTATCACACCTGCCTGTCTGTGTAATTACATAATGTGACAGAGACAGAACTCAGGTGCACGAGCCATAAATCAATGTGTTTTGTTTATGGTGTATAGTCTGATAGGTGTTAAGTTCAAATTGCATGTGATCAATGATTGAAGTATTGCATACAGGCAGGCAGACACATAGGTGTCAATAAAACAGACATTGAGTTTTGTCTGTGACAGAGACTGCTTATCACAATCAACATGCTTTTCTATGTTTCCATAGACATGTATTAAAACATTTTCAGTTTTCAAGCTGAGAAATTTTTAACAATGAAATTAGTATTTCAAATGCTACACTTTCTTTAAAACTTGGTAAAGGGGCATGAGGGAATATAAGTGGAATAAATACGAGTGAATGATTTTTCTCTATACCCACATAGTCTGATTCGGTGACAAATGAATTGATGGTCGACAAAAATGTGTGAGCAATAATCTTCGCAACCGATATACGATGGCGATGTGATAATCATGTCAGCGAGTCTGACCAAGATCTCGTTAGTCGCCTCTTGCGACAAGCACGGGTTGTTGACGACCAATTCTAACCCAGATATTCTTAGTTTGGTTTATAACCTCGTCAAACATTATTGCAGTTAATGTGTCAGCTGAACGTTGGTGGTCAAGCGGAAGTTGTGCGGCAGTGTTGTGTTCGTGCGCAGTGAAGCGGTCATAAAATCATTTTCAGTCCAAATTCAATGTGACTAATTTAATAATTGACCAATCAAATTCGAGTATTTCACGGACTCAAGGTAAAATGCAAACTAATTTATTTCTTTAAAATGAGAATATTCGTGTTAAGAAAAAACTCTTCCAATCAAGATAGTATGCCTTCAAGTTTAGAAATAGTGAGTGAGTGAGTAAGTTACTTGGTCACTCACCTGACAAAAGGGCAAGGAAAAGCCCAGAAACGTTGTGTATAGAAGAAGTTGACATCCATAATATTCTGTCTTATACTTGAGTTTTAAGTCCTATCGGCATTATTTCAGCCCTATAGTTTAAAACTAAGTATTGTATTTGATGTTTTTATGTATATTGTCATTCTATTCTTCATTTAATGTGAGTGTCGCGTCTTCGTGTTTACTCAGGGTCACGTGTGGCTCAGTTGTCCGAGGCGCCACTAGTTGGTTGGTTGGTTTTATAGCTTGAGGGCTACATGGGTCAATAAGAGGCCTATTTGCGCCCAACACATTGACTTGAGTTAATAAAACATCATAGGTAATTTCATCGCCAATAGGAATCGTTTAGTTAACATAAAAGAACCGACAACACTATTAATATTCATTTAGATAGAGGTATACATATATCGAATAACCTCTGCTTCGTGTTACGGATTAAAAACCTTAAGTAATCACTTCCATTTCTGAAACATGAAATACTTATTCATTAAAAAAGCAGTAGGTTAAGGTGACAGAGGGCTAAAAAGATTTAAAATCACAGAACTATATATGTCTAAGCCACTTGAGAGCCTGTCTAGATTACTTCATATTTTCCAGATGACGAGACAAAATCTAAAACTGCCCGTTGCACGGACCCGTACATGATATTGGGGCCCTGAAGAAAATATATCATCAACCTCAAGTACAGCACTTCTGAGATTATGTCTTATGTTATTATGCCCAGGGCATGTAATGAGCCACTATACGCTGTACACAGTTACCTCCCTTGGACTCTCCAGAATCCAGGCCTCGATTGTGGTTTTAGTTTTGTCACAACATACCCGTAGGTTTCACCCGAGTTGTAAACACTTGGGACCTGCGTCACCTCACACTTTTCTCCACCATGGAGCTGGCACGCCGTAGTATAACTGCAATAATGTTTAATGAGGTGTTAAACCAAAGATCCGGGTTAGAATTGGTCGTCAGCAACCCCGTGCGACTAACGGGATCGGGTGGTCAGACTCGCTAACATGGTTAGCACATCGTCATCGTATATCGGCTGCTTTGACGCTGTTCACGCTGTTGATCACTGCGCTGTCTGGTCCAGACTGAATTATTTACAGACCGACGTCACATAGCTGGAATATTTCTGAGTGTGACATTAAAGAACTGAACAGTTAAATCAAATTCCCAAATATTTATTTGGGTTAAACATCACGCCTCATGTTCGCTGTTCTTCCACTAGGCTGGTATCTACGTCCTGACCCTCGTGGACTGGTATGCGTCGGTGCCCCCTGTGATGCTGTTTGGGGTGGTAGAGTGTCTGGTCCTGGCCTGGGTGTTTGGTAAATATATGCTTCCCTGCGTAGATCGATGCTCATGCTGTTGATCACTGGATTGTCTAGTCCAGACTTAATTATTTACAGATATAGCTGGAATAAGCGACCAACTTATTCCCAGTAAGAATCAGTGTTACATACAGGAAATTAGGATTACGGGGGATATCCCCCTTAACTGTTACAAAAGAGGGGGACCTGACACCAAGCAGGGAGGGGGGGCATCACATATTGACTAAAGATAGGTATTTACTGTAATGTTCATGCCGTCACAACAATGCTTAACTATTCACATGAGTTTTCTTACGTGGCCCTTAGCTCAACACTTGTGAAATACACGTCTCTCTTTCTTAGCATTCCATGCTGCAACAGCAGCAGCATCAAAAGGAAATTCCTTAGATCTGGGTCCCTCAATTTGGATTGTAGAATGGGGCCGTTGACGACAAACAGAACAACCAGAAAACGATTGATGTCCTGTGAATACATACGTGTATAACGAGACAAATACGTTGCAGGTGTATGGAGACTGGATAAGTGTACGGTGGAGATGTACGGACAGACCATTCCAAGATGGCTGACCTTCCTCATGAAGTACATCACACCTGGACTTCTCATGGTAATACCATTATCGCCATTCTTAGTGTGAGTGAGTGAGCTGGGTTTAGCGTCATTTTAAGTTTGTCAGTTTGATAATACAGTGTTGTGATGGGAAAGGCCGAAATGATTAGGTCTGATGTATTCTCAGAGGCAAACGTTATTGTGACATGGAAGTTTGTCTTTAGTAAGCTTGTGAAAGATTTTATGGATTTGAACCCGAGAAAGAGTGTGCTCAAATGGTCGAAGAAACGCATCCAATCAGTTGTTCGAATTTTGCAAGACGCAAGACATATTCAAGATAAATGGCCATCAATGGTTACTTGAAATGACCTAACAACCAGACACGTATCACTTCTGCTCAATGCTGTCTTAAGAAGTGCAGAAATCAGACAAACATATCAATATTTTGTCAGTCTGACGTTGCTCGTCGGTGCAACTTCCACAAAAAAAACATTTGGCTCTCATCACTTTAAGAGCGGATGTAGAGTCCGAACCTTTCATCGTAGTCCGAATCTTACACAGAACATCCGTATAGTCTGTTCTAATTAGATTCGTGAAGATCCGGGTTCGAATTGGTCCTCAGTAACCCATGCTTCGGTATTTGACTAACGGGATCGGGTGGTCAGGCTCGCTGACTTGGTTGACCCATGTCATCGTATCCCAATTGCGTAGATCGATGCTAATGTTGTTGATCACTGGATCGTTTGGTCCAATCTCGGTTATTTACAGACGGCCGCCATATAGCTGTTATATTGCTGAGTGCATCGTTAAACAACAACCAATCAATCAAATTGTTCTAATTAATAAATCTGGCCCAAAATTGTAGCAAAGGGTACCTAGTGGTTAAAATGTTCTCTCATCACGCACATTCCCCACATGGGTACAATGTGTGACAGTTATTTCTGGTCTTCCCACCGTGATACTGCTGGAACATTGCTAAAGGCGGCGTAAAACTCATCGTTATGTTCCAAACAGGGAATCTGTTTGAAAAACACTTCTGCATGGTGGCAAATCAAAATCAAAATCCGGTATAGTCAGCACCACACATATAAGTTATCCATTACATAGTTCTGTATGTATCCTTGCCGATTGAAAAGTACGATACAAATCTTCACAGGGTACAACTGTACGTATGCATGCTATACATTACTTCCAGGTTATATTTGTGTACGCCTTCTACGAATACCGGCCTCCAAAATATGGCACTTACTTCTATCCTGAGTGGGCAACCGCTATTGGTTGGCTTATATCGGCGTTCATGATTGTGCCGACGCCTTGTTGGATGGTGTACTGTGTATGGAAGTCCAGAGGGGACACATTCAAACAGGTAACTCAAACTGTGATCCTTATGACCGACTTAGTTAGTCAGTCAGTGAGTGTGTTTTAGTTTGATATGTGTGCAAGTATGTGTGCATGTGCGTGTGCGTGTGCAATTGCGTGTGTAATGTTTGGGTGGAATTGAAGGAATGATTGTGTGTTGAGTGCATCGAGAGTGAGTGAGCCATTCAGTGAGAATTCTAGAATCGGATTGTAGATTTGTCCACCACATAAGGCAATCTGCTGACAACGACACAAACCATAGCCCTGCAAGCCAACATCGAAAGAAACGTTGTCATATGAAACACCTAAAGTCATAGCTTCCGTTCAATAACCCATTCGTATAGAATATAGAATTTATTTTGCGTGTATTGTTCAATCTTTCTTTCCAGAAACTGGTGAACGCATTCATTCCGCAAGATATATCGTCGGATGTATCACTAGAAGACAGAGGTGAAGAACAAGAAGCCCTGAACGTTGTTATGTAATCTCCTGTTCCGTGTCACCAATTTCTATTACCCAGCGTGATACATTTTCATTCTACTGTGATCGATACACTGGACTCATTTGTGGACATATTCTCGTTCACAAAGTGCAGTACGGGGGATGTCTCAAAAGTTTCCGGCCTGCCTAATACGTATTTTTCAACATAATCCCCTTCACTTAAATGGACTTGTTCCACCTTTTCTCCAGCATATTTAACCCGTCTGAAAACCATTGTTTGTCTCGAGACCCTAAATACTCCCACTATTGTCCCGGAGGAGCCAGATACCTCAGCCCTTTTCTCTCGCAACCTACGGAATTCATCAGCGTAATATGCACCATTTATTGTGGAACCCTTCTTTAGATAGTCTATCATGATTACGCCCTCAGAGTCCCAGAAAACGGAGGCAATGACTTTGCCACTGGAAAACGTTCCTTTAAACTTTTTGGGCATTGGTGACGTCACGTGTTTCCACTGCATACTTCGATTTTTTGTCTCTGAGTCAAAGTGATGAACCCAGATTTCATCCTGAGTAACAATATGGCCCATGAAAGCACGTGGATCTCCCCGATAGTCCTCGAGAAGCTGACGCCAAACCATGACTCTCTGACGTTTGTGTTCTTCAGATAACATTCTGGGCGACCACACCGTGGTTCGTATTCAGTGCTGCTCCTGCCCCTCGTACATTCAGCACACCACTGTTTGACCATACTACATGGAGCATTGTCACCTAATTTTTGTGTCATGTGTCGTAAACCTTTTTAAATGTAGATACTCAATAACAGTCCTGCATTCGATTCTCTCCATTTTGAGAGCAAATAATAGTGTCATGCTGTTTGACAATTATATATGGCAAATCATAGCACATGGACGACATGTTTTACACGTCGAGCACCTGCTGAGATACTGTTCTAGAAACACGGCGAGTTTGTTGAGTTTGTGCGATCCGTTCATGGTGAGGCCGGAAACGTTTGGGACACCCCTCGTAACCGTATCTCTCATCAGCAACCTTGCTCAGGATGTCGTTCGCTCATTGTTACAATGTCATTGACAGTTATTTTTTAGCATCGTCTATTAATCAGAAAATTAGAAGCCAGTTGGCGAAAGGGTTTAGAGTTTTCATCGTAACAGATCTTTAGTATATTTTGGGGGGTCAAATTCCGTTGAAGGGTCACCTAAGTTTATCGTAGTGTCACACACGAGTGAGTGAGATTTAGCGGGTATGGTTTTACGCCCCCTTTTAGCAATATTACAGCAAAATCACGACTGGTGAAACACAAACAAATGCCACCTTGTTGTTGATATTGTCAACAAGTATGGCTATATATTATTTTTATTTATCATATCAATCCTCCACACATACGCTAAAGCACGTTACAATACGAAGGAGCTATATTTGAAATGCATATTTGATTCTTGTACACAGAAGAAATTTAAGCATCCTCAAATAAATATTATGGACAACCTATACTGCTCTGGTCAGTTTTCACGAGGAAATCAAATGTTTTTTTCTCAGTGCAATCCAAATGTTTTTCTTCATGTGTTTTCACAGTACATATGGACTAAATTTATTGGGGAAATATTTAATTGGTTTTTAAAATGTCAATCCAATCTTATGAAAACCGTTTTTAATACCTCTGTGAGTGAAGTTCTCATTTTAGGTTTCTAAGGTATCGGTTCTATTCAGACAACATGCCTATTAATATGTTTAACACTAATATAATATATGATATCAAAATGCAGAAACATATTAAGCCATGTAGTGGTTTTGATACACCCTGGAGAATCAGAGCGCCATGGCAACAACGCTGAGATTTCTGTCCTGGTTTGCTTTAACAGTGCTTCCGGTGCTCTTTTGTTATCCCGTCCGGTAGCAAAGGAAAATACGGATGAAATCTGAAACGTGATCTTCCCACAGTAGGAGATCCAAGTCTTTGTAGGACTCGTGTGTTCGATCAGCCAATCTGTCTGTGATTTGCACAAGTGTGACATTCACAGAATCTGTCTGATCCCTTTGTTCATCGGTTAGCAAGACCAGCAAGCCAATGTTGTCCGATGTTGTGCATACCCGCTTTGCAGATCCTATTTATAGGGGTGTCTTCCATATTAACATGGGTCCGGATGTCGGTGTGACTAGATGCAAGTCGCCCTCCTCGCCCCAGGCGAAATATGGCTGGATCCAACGTCCCCTCAACTACTCGTCAGATGACGAAGACCTGTCTTCATGAAAACTAACCTTGGTCTTTGCCCATACTACCAGCGCCATTTTTTTTGAGTGCTCAACAACATTAGAGTTCCAGCCGATGGTTTCATTGCTGCATGTTTTTAATTTATGGTACAATTGTCAAAGGCTGGCACCGCCAAGACAGTGCATAATGGCACCGGAACTGGGAAACCGGTACATGCTGACGAATGTAAGTTGTTTTCTGTCATTTTGTCTTCAGCTGGTAAGAACGTCACCTCGCACATGGAAGGTCATACGGGACAAGTCGAATAGCGACCCGTGCCCCTGGAAGGATTTCATATTGGCGTATGAACATCAGAACTACTTTAAGCAAAGAACGATAACTCTATTGATGTTTGATTACTCAATATCAAGGTAGCACGCGTATATTGCATTTACTGTTTTCGTTTTGGTTTTATTTATTTATTTTAAAGATTTAAACCTCTTTTACTCAACTGAAGAAGAATAACTTTTGTCAACCACATATTCTAATGTAATTATTTCCAGCTGTTCACCATATAGTTCCAAATATATATTTCTATATAGGGTTTAAAGAATCACAAACGGAATTTGTTTTGTTGAATATGCAAAATAAATAAAACAAAATCAGCTACAATAAATCCCAAAAGCCGATAATCAAAAGTGAACATTCGTGAAATCTTGCTGCCATACCTCCTGGCGGAATTTTAGAATGAATACACTGAAAAAATATGAATGATCCCAAAATGTCAGTGTGATACATCCTTAATATTTTTTGCATTTTGATGTCACGAAGGGAGTCTCTATGGAATGAAACTGCTGGTTTCATGATTTCTTACAGCGAAGCTACGTGACACCATGACACGGGACAGAAAGGTGACAGATGTGGCCCTGACTTATAGATTTGTGTAATGTTTCCATTTGAAAATTGTATTATGTGTATTCTGAAATTGATTTCATCATGTTCGATGGAGAGCTCTTGTGACTAAGTGCCTGTGTTGTTGTTATATGAGTGGTGTCGGAGCATCCGTTAGTAGTTTCTCGATCTTTGAATGGGAGCCGTTTTCTACAGATGGACATATCATCTTCTCTGTAGCAATAATCCAAATTACGCTTCTGGTTGACATTCCTCGCCCATGGGCGAGCAGTGTAAATTTTCTGAGTTTTCCATGCAAACTTACATGTTTTCATTTTGTCCATCCCTTAGCATATATGTTCATGACAACTGCAGGGTTTAGAATTTGGTCAAAATCCCTTGTTAGAAAGTGGCCACAGTGCGGAGAGTTTCTGGACTTTTGGAGTTGTCTATAATTAAACTGTGATGTGTTTATATTATTCCCTCAGTACAGTGTCACGTACCCTTTACTCTTTCCGTACGGAAGTACAAGGCTTACTGAACCCTGACGCAGGAAGAAGCTCATGCTTGGTCAAACAACAACAAACCTCAAAAGTCAAGGAATATCTAGCCCCGGATGAAATAGTTGGATCAGAGATCTCGGCATCTACGTTGAAAGTGTTTTGGAGAAGAATGCGGAAGTGAAACATGAATCTTGTTCATTGACATCCTGGGCTGTTATCCACACTGCCAAACCAAAGGGTCTATCATGGCTTCTTCAAACTGGATAGAAGCATGTATATATGCATCACCACTTTGCATCTACTAGTTGTAGCGATCCGTAAAGTTCAGGTTAGAATTGGTCTTCAGCAGCCCATGCTTGTCGTAAGGGCGAGTAACGCGGCATCAGGTGGTCGAGGCTCGCTGTGGCGGCTGACACATGTCAGCGTACCCCTATGCTTATAATGCTGGTCACACATTATCTGGTACAGACTCCATTACATGTAGTACTGACCAACGCCATATGTCTGGTATATGCTGGAGTGCGGCGTTGAAGCAACAAACCAACCACCAACCAACATGTTGTACAGACATGGAGTTTTCATCATACTAATGTGTAAAACGTAATCATCTACTGCACAAGCTCAAAGTAAAGAGATTGCATTCAGAAGTTGCAGCAATAAGGAAGGAAAACAATATATGGATGAAGAACTTCTATATTGCTGTGAGGCAGCAGTTTCAGTGAAGATGTTTTAACGCCACCAATTTGCTTGACCAACGGTGACAGAGACCTACACCGAAACATTAATCTCGCTTTTGAATCAAGACGTCGTTCATCCATATGCTGTTATCCTTCCTCAAAGATAAAGAATCAACTTGGAATTGTTGTTGGATACTTTTATTAGAATGTGGCAGATTTGTATCCTAGATGGATTCAAAATCTTCCGTGGCATAGGAATCATTGCTGCAGTAACTCCTAGGACAAAGGATAAACCCCTTTTTCAGGGTTCAACTACCTCAGGAGATGTCTGGGTTGAAAATATTGCTATTCATGTTTTCTATCAAACCTTGAGGCAGCAGTGTGCCTGCCTTTGTTTATGATGTAGTCAAAGGATGATGTTGACAAAAGATCCATCATGGATTTCTTTAGATGCTCTGCGGAAAGAGTATCATGGCCATTGCAAACAGCAAAGGATTGGATGATCCAAACATGATTGGCCAGGCATGTCAAACATAGCATAGCTTTATCATGCCGGAATATTCAAATTTCATCCGTGTCCAGAGTAGACCAGCTTTATGATCTCAAGCCAGTATTAAGGCCTGACGTACATGATACTTTATCAGTATCAGCACACAATGTAAAAGCTTCCATTTCAACAGTTCGTTCTCTTGAAGTTCGTTATTGTTTCTGTTCTGAACCAGAATCCAATACTTTCATCTTCCTTTCCAAAATCCACCCAAGCCCTTTCCAAAATCCACACAAAAGCCTTTCCAAACTCCACACAATCAGGTCAATATTAACCAAAGAAATATTTTCTAAACGTGAGGTCATTAAACAATTCAGACAATAGCAGAAAAAATCTTAACGAAACTATGAAATACTGATGGTCAAGTAACGGGGAAAGCTTCGCGCTTCCTGTCCACTGAGAGCACTGCACAAGACATGCAAGGGGGCAAGTCAAGTGTCCATCGGAACACAATCTCCCTCCACATATC